CAATCATTTAATGATTGACAGAAAAGGTATCTTACAAATGCTTGTCATTGTTGATAAAAAAAAGTTGTTGTTGTCATTAATTCTTCTTTTAAAGTCCAGTCTCCTGATGGGTAGTTTTAAGCTTTGTGGTTTATAATGATAAAATTTGGATAAACCATTGAGTAGCTTTGCATTAAAACAACTAAATGTAAATCCGTCCATCAAAATCTTTTATACTTTAAAACAGCAAGCTGTTTGTTTAAGGAACAAATTACATATACAGTTTTGTAGCAAATGCAATTTTTATATTAAAGACTTTAGATAAATTGTTATATTTTAATAATATGTTAGTGTTTTAGTTAGAGACCTGATATGTGTACTTCCCCAGAGATGTTGTAAGAAATGCACCTTTTTAATAATCTTCAATCTTAACACGTTGGCTGCTACATAATACATTAAGTATAAATAAATGTAAACATCCAAGATGTGCCAAGGAACAGTCACAGTGTCCCAAACTCATGTGCTACAAGAGAAATTTAGCTTTGAAACATAATTGTCTGGGACCCACCAGTAGGGCACATGGCAGCAAACATGGTAAAACTTTATCACAATCAACTCCAATTGTTAACTACATTATTAATTACATAAAATACTATTATGATAATTAACTTTGTTGGTCTGATTGAGGAACTCTTTGGACTGATTTCTGGTCATAAATCATGAGCTAAATTGTACAGACAAGTGCATGCAGGCTTGTAACTCTGCCCTGTCCTTTTTGTGGAATATCAATTTTTGTTTTAAAAAAAAAAGATAATCTTTATGTTGATCTGTCATTTATAGAAGTAACAAAAAAATGTACTTGAAATTAGAAATCACATGGAGAACATTTTTTGAATTCTGTGATAATATAAATGTTTGGGAAGTTGTTTTTACTGACTGTAATAATTACTGGTTCTGTGATTTTGGTTTCAAAGAAATTTTATCTGAGGTTAACAATGTTTTTCATAAGCTAAGTAATTTCTTCCTTGAGCTATAACACTGCATCACAAAACAGCGGTATTCTAGTTTTCTCCTGGGTAATATTATGTGATATTTTAATAGTATATTTATACTTTCATGTAATTAGCATAAATGTAAGAACTGGGAAGCATTGACTTTATTCCTTTTCATCATATTTTACTGAAAATATCACTTTTGTGATATGTCTTTACATTCCAAATATGTGTTAGAAACGGCTTGTTGTTTTTCAGAACACAGTTTTAACGGAACTTGGCATGTTTACTTGTTGGATGGGCTTGGCACTTAAGTGATATTCCTAGAATTTATAGCAACTCTAAAATTTACTTATGTTATCACAAGCTAAAAATTTAGTCTTCCAGTTGATTTAAAATCTATATTTTTAAACTAGTCTGAACAATGTGTATGTATTTTTATATTACTTTAAACAAAACTTATAATAAACGGGTAAGTACTTGGAAAAATATAAGAAATCCATTTTGGTCCCAATGAAATTGTGATTTTGTTCAGGTTATAGAATTGGCTGTTTGCCAAAGAAATTGGGCAGAAACTTATAAAACTATATTTTTCTAGCTAATGAGTCTACACAAGCTTGTATTTTTCATGTTACAGCATGTTTTTTCTCTAAAAAATGGACATTAAATTTGTTTAAACACAAGTGAACAAACCTGACAAGATCTTTCAAATAATATTTTGACATATTTTAAAAGTATTGTAAAAGAATATTTTTTGGTCAAATTTTGTAACAAAATTATATGTGGTATAATTTGTCTGAATTGTAATTTGGTTGTATGTGTAATGTTATTCCTGTTCATATTGTAGACAGTCCTCTGCATGTTGTATTTCATTGTTCAATATGTTTTATCATGATTCATTGGCACTGATATAAAGAATAGCTATCCTAAACCGATGTTGCAGAGGTTAAGAAAAAATTTTGAATTTCAAGTTATTGAAAATTATGTTTTTTCTATATGTGTATACGTTCTTTCTGTCTCTCCTGAAGAATGTAGGTAAGATAGAGAAGCACAGTTTTTGTTGTATCTGGAACATGGAACTAGTTAGTTTTTTTTTCAGTCTTGTTGAAAGCTTAATTATCAACTTGTTCTGTTGCAATGTATTTAGTCTGGTTGTAAAATATTGTATAAATATAAACAAAACATACATATATTTTACAGATAATGACTGTTTTCGTTGTTTGATAGTTCTATATTAGCAGATTGTGAAGTTTAAGACTTAAAAATGTATTTTTATCTTGATACACTCATGAGCATGGAAACCATGCTATTCAGCTATGCCATTTATTGGTATTTTATAATTGTTAATTTATTATATTTGATGATAGATTAGATTAGATATTCTTTTATAAGTAAAACGAAACTTTTTATTGTCTGCTACGTCTTTAACTGAAGATCTTTTATCTGTAGTATCATTATAGAAAGTATGTTGAGAAAATTTAACCCATTGACTGCTGTTTCACCATATAGGGTACGGTCTGCCTCCAGCAGTTGTGCTGTATAAGGTTTAAAGCCTGTAAAAGTTCTGCATGCGTTTAGAGTAGCTACAGTCAATGAGTTAAATTACCCTTTATATCCAAACTTCAAGCTAAAGTAGCGTTACTTAGAATTGGAGGCAAGAGTTGAAATGCCTGTGTTGTATAAGTCTGGAAAATCTGGAATTTTTTGTGAAAGATTATGTGTTTGGGGGTGGGAATAGAAAGAATGTATCATAGTTCTCAGTCTTTTAAGCAGTGCAAGATCTTTTGGTACCTAGTTTAGTTATTCCTTGACTTAAAGGCTTAGCTTTTTTTTTTTCAAACTATTTCTTAATTTTATATGACAATTGATGTTTTCATATTAAGAGCTGGAAAGCCGTTTGTGGGCTCCTTAATAGTTTTAAACTCTTTTTGTAAAAACATGCTTTTCCAAAAGTCATTTCAGAATTGTTTGAAACCTCATAAATTTTGGTGTGTATATCTAGTATCTTTCCTTTTAGAAAGGCTCGTGATTGAAATATTTATTGCAGAATATATATATAAATAAAAGTAGGTGACAGAAATGTGAGAGCTATCATTTTTGCTGGAGGTTAATACTAGATTTCTTACATATGGACTACCGGAAAGATGTGACAACTTGTTAGCCTTTGAAGAGGATACTTCATATGTAGATGAGGGTAGAGGTGTGGATTTGACATATCTGGATTTTCAGAAAGCATTTGACAAGATACCACAGAAAATGCTTTTTTGTCTTTTTTTTTTAAATAGGTTATCTCTGTAAGTGTGGGAGATAAGTTGGCTCATTGGATAGAAAACTGTCTAGATCGAAGAAAGCAAAGGGTTTTTATAAATGGAGTTCAGTCAAACTGGATTAATGTCATGAGTGAGGTACCTAAGAGCTCAGTGTTAGGACTTTTGCTCTTTTTGATTTACATCAATGACATAGATAAAGGAATGGTCAATAGACTATTTAAATTGGCTGATGATATTAAAATGTTGGGTGTTGCTGGCTGTGAGGAGGATGCAGCTGATTTACAGAAGATAGACCAAAAGGTCCCTTGTTGTCCTTTAATGTTATAGCAGGGAAGGTGTAACATTGGTGCTTATTTTTAAATAGCCACTTTTGTTTTCCCTTTATTAAGATAGTTATAAATTTGAATATTAGAATTGTTTTCATGTGTATTTTAATTTAATTTTTATAACACTAGATGGAGTACCTGTCCATTAGAAGGGTGAAATAAAAATTTGTTTGTAAAAAAGGATAGTAAATTGTCCTTCAATTTTTTTTTCTTAACATAATAAACAAAAAGTGGAATAAATATAAAAAGGTACCAATACTGAAAAAATGCATACTGTTTTAAATTCCATCAATATTAACTTAGATTTTGGGGAGGAGGTCCAATCCACCACCTCCCATGACCTTTCTGATGTCATCCTTTAATCACTGTCAAGTTGTGCAGATTTGGTAGTTTTTCCAAAATTATATAGGGGGGTCCAAACCCCTCCCCCATATGTCATCCTGTATCATTGTGTCAAGTTTGTTTTTGATTGAGCAAGAAATGTGGAAACGTATAAGAAACACAGACACGCATATTGACGTGTACTTGTATAGACAAGTTGTTTTATGTACACTATGTATAGATAGTTTCATGTGTTAGGATAACAAAAATCTTGGTTATGAGTGGTTCTAGGAGATTCTGAGACAGTCTTTGTATGTATAAAGTAAGTCTAAAATTTAAAAACAAAGGAACCATGTTAGAAAATTTACCTGGCATCCCTTCCATTTGATCTAAGAGGATTTTATTCTTTTCGCCATTTCCCAAATATTTAAAAAAGTGTAAAACTTAAGATGTTAGGCTAGATTAATTTCTGTGTTAAGACGTTTTTTGTGATCGTTATAGTCTAAAGTTCTTGTAATATTGAATATTTGCAATTGTTTGCTTTGCATTATAAACCTCAACTCGATAAGTTTGCTGGTTCGTCTGTTCTTGTGAATGACAATAATGGCAAAATATAAAAACCAAATTTGTGTTAGTGATTCATACCTAAAGATCTGATTTGTAAATTACTTAATTTGATAATACAGTTAACCTGAAAGTTGATATATGTAGACATAATGTAGCGCTCATAACACTAATAAGTATCTATCTCAGCCAGCCTGACGAACCATGTTGCTTGTCTGCTATAGCATTCTCTCTCTATTGATTTGATCTGGTTATTTATTCCACATTTTCTACACGTAGTGTGAACAGAAAAAATAAAAAAATGTTTGACAAGCTGAACATTTTCATACGTGATTAACCATACCGCCGATATTTAGTGTTATAGCACACAACGGTAAGTTTGAGGAATTATAACGCTAATTGTTGGAATTTTATCCCTGTGTTGGCCACAGTGCATATCGTCCATTGTGTAGCTTTATGCTTTGCAAAAATAGATTAATTATATCTGTGTTGGTGTTTTTTAATAAGCTAGTTACGTTTGGTGTTTTTATTT